TCGAATTGAAACCCCCTCTCTCCGCGAACTTCAACCCACCTCTCTCGTCGAACTTCAACCCAACTCTCTCGTCGAACTTCAACCCACCTCTCTCGTCGAATTCCAACCCACCTCTCTCGTCGAACTACAAATCCCCTCTCTCGTCGAATTGAAACCCCCTCTCTCGTCGAACTTCAACCCACCTCTCTCGTCGAACTACAAACCCCCTCTCTCGTCGAATTGAAACCCCCTCTCTCCTCGAACTTCAACCCACCTCTCTCGTCGAACTTCAACCCACCTCTGTCGTCGAACTTCAAACCACCTCTATCGTCGAACTTAAACCCCCTCTCTCGTCGAACTTCAACCTACCTCTCTCGTCGAACTGAAACCCCCTCTCTCGTCGAACTTCAACCCACCTCTCTCGTCCAACTACAAACCCCCTCTCTCGTCGAACTTCAACCCACCTCTCTCGTCGAACTTAAACCCCCTCTCTCGTCGAACTTCAACCCAACTCTCTCGTCGAACTTCAGCCCACCTCTCTCGTCGAATTCCAACCCACCTCTCTCGTCGAACTACAAACCCCCTCTCTCGTCGAATTGAAACCCCCTCTCTCGTCGAACTTCAACCCACCTCTCTCGTCGAACTACAAACCCCCTCTCTCGTCGAATTGAAACCCCCTCTCTCCGCGAACTTCAACCCACCTCTCTCGTCGAACTTCAACCCACCTCTGTCGTCGAACTTCAAATCACCTCTATCGTCGAACTTAAACCCCCTCTCTCGTCGAACTTCAACCCAACTCTCTCGTTGAACTTCAACCCACCTCTCTCATCGAACTACAAACCCCCTCTCTCGTCGAACTTCAACCCACCTCTCTCGTCGAACTAAAACCCCTTCTCTCGTCGAACTTCAACCCACCTCTCTCGTCGAACTGAAACCCCATCACTCGTCGAGCTACAAACACCCTCTCTCGTCGAACTTCAACCGACCTCTCTCGTCAAACGTCAACCCAACTCTTTTGTCGAACTTCGCTCCATGTCTCTCGTCGAACTAATATCAACTCTCTCGTCGAACTTCAACACACCTCTCCCGTCGAGTTTCAAACCATCTCTCTCGTCGAGCTTCAACCCGCCTCTCTCGTCGAACTAAAACCCCCACTCTCGCCGAACTTCAACCCACCTCTCTCGTCGAACTTCAACCCACCTCTGTCGTCGAACTTCAACCCACCTCTGTCTTCGAACTTCAACCCACCTCTATGGTTGAACTTAAACCCCCTCTCTCCCCCTCTCAACCCACCCTTCAACCCACCTCTCTCGTCGAACTTCAACCCACCTCTGTCGTCGAACTTCAACCCATTTCTATGGTTGAACTTAAACCCCCTCTCTCGTCGAACTTCAACCCAACTCTATCGTCGAACTTCAACCCTACTCTCTCGTCGAACTTCAACCCACCTCTCTCGTCGAACTGAAACCCCCTCTCTCGTCGAACTTCAACCCACCTCTCTCGTCCAACTACAAACCCCCTCTCTCGTCGAACTTCAACCCACCTCTCTCGTCGAACTTAAACCCCCTCTCTCGTCGAACTTCAACCCACCTCTCTCGTCGAATTCCATCCCACCTCTCTCATCGAACTACAAACCCCCTCTCTCGTCGAACTTCAACCCACCTCTCTCGTCGAACTAAAACCCCTTCTCTCGTCGAACTTCAAACCACCTCTCTCGTCGAACTTCAACCCGCCTCTCCGTCGAACTAAAACCACCTCTCTCGTCGAACTTAAACCCCCTCTCTCGTCGAGCTTCAACCCACCTCTCTCGTCCAACTACAAACCCCCTCTCTCGTCGAACTTCAACCGACCTCTCTCGTCAAACTTCAACCCAACTCTTTGTCGAACTTCAACCCACCTCTCTCGTCGAACCTCAAGCCGCCTCTCTCGTCGAACTAAAACCACCTCTCTCGTCGAACTTAAACCCCCTCTCTCGTCGAATTTCAACCCACCTCTCTCGTCGAACTGAAACCCTCTCTCTCGTCGAACTTCAACCCACCTCTCTCGTCCAACTACAAACCCCTCTCTCGTCGAACTTCAACCCAACTCTCTCGTCGAGCTTCAACCCAACTCTCTCGTCGAACTTCAAGCCACCTCTCTCGTCGAACTGAAACCACCTCTCTCGTCGAGCTTCAACCCACCTCTCTCGTCCAACTACAAACCCCCTCTCTCGTCGAACTTCAACCGACCTCTCTCGTCAAACTTCAACCCAACTCTTTGTCGAACTTCGATCCATGTCTCTTGTCGAACTAATATCAACTCTCTCGTCGAACTTCAACACACCTCTCCCGTCGAGTTTCAAACCACCTCTCTCATCGAACTTCAACCCGCCTCTCCGTCGAACTAAAACCAGCTCTCTCGTCGAACTTAAACCCCCTCTCTCGTCGAGCTTCAACCCAAATCTCTCGTTGAACTTCAACCCACCTCTCTCGTCGAATTCCAACCCACCTCTCTCATCGAACTACAAACCCCCTCTCTCGTCGAACTTCCACCCACCTCTCTCGTCGAACTTCAAGCCGCCTCTCTCGTCGAACTAAAACCACCTCTCTCGTCGAACTTAAACCCCCTCTCTCGTCGAATTTCAACCCACCTCTCTCGTCGAACTGAAACCCTCTCTCTCGTCGAACTTCAACCCACCTCTCTCGTCCAACTACAAACCCCTCTCTCGTCGAACTTCAACCCACCTGTCTCGTCGAGCTTCAACCCAACTCTCTCGTTGAACTTCAACCCACCTCTCTCGTCGAATTCCAACCCACCTCTCTCATCGAACTACAAACCCCCTCTCTCGTCGAACTTCAACCCACCTCTCTCGTCGAACTTCAAGCCGCCTCTCTCGTCGAACTAAAACCACCTCTCTCGTCGAACTTAAACCCCCTCTCTCGTCGAATTTCAACCCACCTCTCTCGTCGAACTGAAACCCTCTCTCTCGTCGAACTTCAACCCACCCCTCTCGTCCAACTACAAACCCCTCTCTCGTCGAACTTCAACCCACCTCTCTCGTCGAACTTAAACCCCCTCTCTCGTCGAACTTCAACCCAAATCTCTCGTTGAACTTCAACCCACCTCTCTCGTCGAATTCCAACCCACCTCTCTCATCGAACTACAAACCACCTCTCTCGTCGAACTTCAACCCACCTCTCTCGTCGAACTAAAACCCCTTTTCTCGTCGAACTTCAACCCACCTCTCTCGTCGAACTGAAACCCCCTCTCTCGTCGAGCTTCAACCCACCTCTCTCGTCGAACTTCAACCGACCTCTCATGTCAAACTTCAACCCACCTCTTTGTCGAACTTCGATCCATGTCTCTCGTCGAACTAATATCAACTCTCTCATCGAACTTCAACACACCTCTCCAGTCGAGTTTCAAACCACCTCTCTCGTCGAACTTCAACCCGCCTCTCCGTCGAACTAAAACCACCTCTCTCGTTGAACTTCAACCCACCTCTCTCGTCGAATTCCAACCCACCTCTCTCATCGAACTACAAACCCCTCTCTCGTCGAACTTCAACCCACCTCTCTCGTCGAACTTCAACCCGCCTCTCTCGTCGAATTCCAACCCATACAGTCATACAGTTTTCATATACAGAAAAAGGCTAATCATACACTTTTCTTGTAATTCCATAAGTACAGAATGAAAAGTCTGTGATTGTATTTTACAGGCTTGTTTTTCATAAATTGAAATTGTATGACTAGCATGAACGAAAGAATTGATTTTTATTTTTTATTTTGTTAAGGTTTTTGGGATGTGTTTTGAATCAAACACAAGTGACAAAACCCATAGTATGCTCAAAACGAGAGTCACCGAAAATTCGACCGTCTTGCATTTACAATGCATTGGAAACGACCTGAATAGTGTAAGAGCTTTCTTTTAGTAATGATATACTGAAAGCACCAAACTTTCATTTTTTGGCAAAATTTTTCAAATTTTTAAAAATGATCATTTTCAAAATTTGAGTTATTAAATAATCAGACATTGATCAAGGCATACATAAACATGCCGCAAAAAAGAAATAGGAGTTTTTAGAAACGAAAAAAAAATTGTGTATTCAAGAGTACGTTATGCGCACAAATAAGTCTTGCATGCCAAAATCTTTTTTATGAAACTAATTGTTTGAGTGCAAATTTCGATTTGCCGTTAAAAAAAAAGTTTCGAGTTAATTTCAAAATCTAAATGTTTTTATTCGCCATCAAAAAAAGCTAGTCATACGTTTTTCTTATATGGAAATTGTATGATTAGCTTTTGTTTTCACAATATGTTTTTCTTTTTTATTTAGTACGATACACCGATTTTTAGTTCCAAATTAAGAAAAAACTCTTTGAAATTTCGGTGACACCATTTTAGCAAATGTTGTGATGTTTGTATTATTAGTGTTCTTTCAGACACTTAGTTTTTGGGTTTGTATGATTAGCATTTTTGTTCTATAGACGTCAACCGGGACCACCCAGCAACCCACCTCTGTCATCGAACTTCAACCCCTTCTCTCTCCAATTTCAGTCCCCCTTCGCACCCCCTGAGTGTGATGCTGGTTCTCAAATTCAACGAAAGGATCTCATGAAGGAGAAAAAAAGGAAATCATCGGAAAAATCAAACATTTTTTTAAGTAAAACCTTGTTGAAAACGTCATCATTATGATTTCATTGAGTTTTTTTTATTGTTTTTATCATTTTGAACCGAATTGCACCTGTTAAAATAAATAAATAAATAAATCAAAATGAGCCAAGAAATTAGGTCAGATGTGGGAACTTTTGAGACAGAAATAGCCAAGAAAAACAAAATTTCGGATCTGAAATAGCCAAGAAAAACAGGCCCCGCACACCTCAGCTAAACTTATTGTCGCCAAACAAAATACTAAGACCAAAAATGTTTTTCAAGACCTAATTAGTCTGCATGCCAGTTTTGTTAACAATTGGACACAGTGATCAAAATGTTAGTTGTATAAACTGGCAGGTGGGGAAAAAGAATTAAAAGTCTTCAGGTCTCACCAGCAGAGAGACCACAAGAATGAAGTGTTCTCGATGAAGACTGCAGCTGCACATGCAAAATTGGTCTCATTCTTGTACTGCTCCCACTCATGACTCATCAAGTTGGAAGTGGCACCAAGGATGGTATTTAGGAAGTCAGAAAACACCACCATGGCCATCACCTACAACACACACTCACACACATACACCCACACACAGCTTAATCCTGTTTGACTCGGATAACTTCGAGAACGTGGAACCTGATCTAAACTACATTTTATGATTGGATAAATTAGATATTTTACCAATGTAAAGTATTTAATATTAACCAATCATGATCCATCTAACTAACAATCCACTTATTTGTAAGTGCTGAAATTACTTGTAATTTCAGCACCAGAGAGATTTGAATTTAACTTAGAAATTAGTTGGACTCTCCCGAGTACTTCAGCAGCCGCAATAAACCAGTATACCCTAGATCTATTGAGCCTAGCAGAGACTAGTTAAACAACCTGAGACTAGATAGTATAAGAGTAAGATTAGGATCGGTATTAGACTAAGAAGTTGCACGAATCTATCCGGCCGAAAATAAGATAGCGTGACGAGCAGACGGTGTACCCTATCCGAAATTACTCTATGAGTTACACTTCGGTCATAACTCATCTGGTGCGACCATAAGTCTCGAACAAGACCTTAATAGCTTAGAATTAACCAAAAATAGATTAGAATTTAGACAAAACATTTACAAAATGTTATACGACGATAATATAATCGAAATGTCTCTACGACTCAATAGATCAGAGCCAATATTCCGAACCATAACAGAACTACCCGGAATTGGAAGAAGACCTCGAACCAGAGACGACATACGACAAAGTAGAAACTTGCCATATAGTTATATGATAGTTCGGCAAAAGCCAGAACAAACTTTTGTATTTAGAATACTACTAGCAATGAATTTAGATTTTCATTTGCAAACATAAAACCTTGAAGTCAATCTTCAAAATCATTACAGGCGCTAAACAAAATTATTAATATACAATAACGATTGATAAAAAGATCTCAGATCGTTTTCCTAAATTCTGCAGTACTATACAAAACATGTTTGAAAAATATTTATTGGAAAATCAAAATAAAAATTAGTAGCATGGCAATAAATGGTTAGTAATCATAAATCATCCTGTTGTTCCAGCTTCATCACCTAAACATAACAGCATTCATAAGCTCACTAATATCATAAAAACACTAAATCTTTTCTTTACACAAATTTAAATCATTTTAAACTTAAATTCACTTAAATTTAAAATCAGATCATCAAGGCTTATCCTTGGATCTTAAATCATTTTCTACTTAATTGAATTTCAAACTTGATCATCAAGGCTTATCCTTGGATCAAAAAGAACAACTTTGTTCTCCCCCACCCACTTAACTAGTGTCTAACGACCTCAAAAGTCGATTCACTATCCAACCCTTTCTAAAAACCCAGGACTAATAGAAATTTTTGAACAAAACTAATCATTCAAATTAGGATAAACAGTGAAGAACTTCGGTTATTCATCCTTCACTTGACCCCCCCTCTTACCAGACCCAGGATAAATCTTAGTCTTAGTAAGTTTAAAATAGTATCTAACGAACTACTCGCGTTCTAATTATACCTGAACCTTGTGGATCGATTTACTATTCTCCAACCCTTGAACACAATCACTACCCCTAAGTAAGATTAAGTAAGTTAACACCTTAGCTTATACTAGTCACGAGAAAGTAAAAAATCATTCTTCGGAATAGATATACTTTTCTCTCCAACCCTGAACAAATAGACCCAGGTTAAGCTAACCAAAAAATCGTAAGGACTAACAGTTTAAGCAAATAGAAATCATTTAACAACCTTTTGCACCCGTCATCCTAAACCTTATGTCATTTAAAAACCTAGGAAATAAACAAACAATCGTTTTACACAATTGTGAAATAGATAACAAAAAATACGACCTTGTGATCACACCTCATACAAAAACAGTTGGATACATTCGAACAAAACGACAAACACTAAAGAGAAAAATAATAACTAAACAAAGACAAATAACACGAAAAAGATTTTCAAAAAACCGAAACGCATTTTCAGAATCAGAAACCAACAGTTTAGACGAACTTTATAAACTAAAAGAATCAATAGATAAAAATTGCCGAATTCACGATCAATTATATTTCTCTGACTCAGAAACAACTTCAACTTCATCAAAAAGAGGAAAAAGAAGAATAAAAAAGCAGTATAAACACAAACCAGTACATTTATACAATTGGAATCAACCAATTAGACACATTGATAATTACATATTAACAGTCATCGAACGAAAAATTGAGCTCAACGCACACCCCAGGTGAAGAAAGTCCAGATGATGATGATATTTTCCCCTTTATAGTAGATGCAACCACTGATAGAGGACAACATATATTATGCAAAAATTTACTATTAAATTTATTTGAACCCGGAATCAGTCCATGTAAAACAGAGTTCCCAGATGTCAAAATCAAAAGACAAATTATTGATCACTATATAAAAGATATATGTAACCTAACACAACACTACGGAATCTACTCCATAGAATTCAGCTCACCAAACCAGAATCACAGTAAATATATAATTCAAACAGACGACCTTGATTTAGAATTTTCAAAAGTATTCTCAGAATATATAAAAAGCATCCAATACCATAACTCACAAAGAGCAAACTCCATATTCACTAATGAAGTTTTTGCAATAATATATAGTTATATCTCGATGTTAGAAAACGAAATCCCACTCCCAAATGTCTCACCGACAGAAACATCGACACATATAAGAGTACGACATGAAATCACACTACTCTCTAGTTTTCTAAATATCATTAAAGAAAATTTCACGAAAGATGAAGTTTCACAACATACAAAACACGACTTACAAAAAATTTTGGCATGGTTTATAATAGATTATTTCACACATAATATAGATTTAATTTCACATGCAAGAAAAAATTTTAGACCTCAAAATTCAAACGATGATACTGCCATCACAGAACAATCAGACTATGTTTGGGACCCCGAATGGTCTCATCATGCATTCATAAATATCCCACAATCAATCTCCAGTCAAGCAATAAGTACAATATCTTATGTAAGAGATTATGTAAAAGTAACACCATTAACCATTGATGCAACACCATTAAACTATAATACATTTTTACCCGATATGCAAAATAATAGTTTAAACTCTACAGTCATACACAATGAAAACCTCAATGGAACTAGGAATCTTACTCAACAAGATATCCAGACACCATCACACTTCATAAATGAAGAAATAGTACACACAACAACTACACAACAAAGTATTTCACCAATACGTCCAAATTTAACAACACCAAGAAATACAAACCCTTCACAAACACAGGTAACCTTACAATCAACCGTTAAGCCTTCGGTTGCCCCAAAATATTCACACATGGATTACCAAACATACAGACCCATGACAATACAGCCAAAAACACGCAAAACGTTCACTAGAAACAATTTTGCAGATCATAATTATAATTACACACATCCATCAAAAACAAATTATCAACCACGAAAAAATTTCAGTAATTATACAAGATCTCGAAACTGGGATAACCCAATGGCACAAACCAATTCAGTAAATTTTCAAACAAATTTACATCCTCCACAGGATCGTACTGAAAACTACCCATTTTTTCAACAAAATAAAAATAAAAAACAAACATCTTATCAAATGGATTACTTATCTTCAGATGATGATTTCTTACATCCAGATATATTTGCACCCTATAATCAAGAATATCGTGGATAAGGAATACAGAAACCACATACAAATCATAGAATTTTTTCTCCACAACCAATAGATACACAATCTTTTCAACCAATTCAGCAACAAAACCCAATTAATACACAATCTTTTCAACCAATTCAGCAACAAAACCCAATGATTGCACACTCGTATCAACCAACACAAATGCAAAATGAAATACCACTACCATATTATCTTCAACAACACGAAATAACAAGAAATCAACTTTCAAATTTTTCTCAAATGCCAAATGCAGCAGAATCATTACAAATGACAATGAATCCATACCTTATGGGTGGATCATCAATAACATCAAATAAACCTTTAATGGTATTCACAGGAACAGACCCTGAATATTCTGTAGAAGACTATTTAAATGCAGTAACAGCAAACTTGATTTTAAATATAGGACCTGAACCAATTAATACGCCACTACATCAAAATTGGATACATCGACGCACAGCGTTGATACAAACAACTTTAGATGGCGCAGCCCAAAAATGGTTTTCAGTATTGCCTCTAGAAAAAAAATCAAATTGGAAAAGGTTTACACAAGAATTTTCAAAAATGTTTGACTCCGAAAGAAACAAACAACAACAAAGAGTTTTATGTAATGAAATTCGCAGATTACCAAATGTAACTATCAAGCAATTAGCAGTACGAATCGAAACACTAGTTCGAAAAGCATATTCATTAAATACACACGACTATAAAAACACAAAGATGACACCACAATTAAGGAAAATAGCAATAAAAAAGAGAGCATACCATCCTTTTTCAATTCGAGAACCCGATTTAGATTTTCGAAAACTAGTAGACAAACTAGAACAAGCAGAAATCACAATGAAACTCGAAGAAACGGAAAATCTGAAATTACAATACGTTAACAGAATTGAAACAACTTCCACAAATATAAACAATATACAGGAATCAGATACAGACCTCGTTGAAAAAATCACTGAAATACTCAATATTTACGAAAAACACCCAAACTTTAAAGGCAAACCTTCTTTCAAAAAATGGTGTAATTATTGCCGACGATACGGACATAGTAATTCTGAATGTAGACAAAAACAGCACGATAATCAAAACAAACCTCAAAAATACAAAGAACCAAATAAATCATTCTATCAATATATGAACAAAGATCAAAATCTACCGAACAAAAATGTATACAGCAACAACAGTTCAGGAAAACCACTCCCGAACAATACAAATTATACAAGAAACCAATCACCACATAACTCAAGTTATAGAGGAAGATCGCCAGAACGAAGAAATACACAAAATTCGTCACAAAATCACTACAATAGACCAAATAGTAGAAATAACTACTCCAGATCTAAT